ACCTCTAGTAATAAATTTACTGAGAAAAATGGTGACGTGTTCAATACTTATTTTACCTGCTGTATTAATCATCAAGTGCCAAAAACTAATCGATTAATGTTTTTCTGACGATTAATTGCACACAATACGATTATGCCCAACCCTAATATGTTTGATGTTTTATTACAGTTTACATTGTTAATTTTTTTTATGACTGTACAGCACCTTGTGGATCTATTTCTATGACAGGCGCTTTATAAATAAAACTTTACTTACTTACATAGTGTGGTGTGGAAAGTATACTGTGGTAAATAGCTCGTTTGTTGTGTTTTGACCAGTTTACCCTCCCGTCCATGGTGGACGTGCCAAGCTGTCTGACAACTGATTGTTAGTTAAAGTCACTGACGAGCAGCGAGCTGACCTCCTGAGGCAGGCTGACACTCACTGCTCTGATCGTACATCTTTCTAAAAACTAAAGCCTGAATATTTCCTCCACCTCATTCGACCGGTTAGTTTTCGGACACATGATGATGCCAGCTAATATCACCTGGACGTAGTGACTTCACCGCTTAGCTTCAGTTTTTTTATTATAATTATTATTTCTACGTATTGAATAACGGTTATAAATAATAGATAACATACTTGTACAAACGTCGTACCTTAAACCTGCTTGTTGTTTGGTGTCTCTTCGACTGTATTTATCGCGTAAACCCCAATCGTCAAACTAACAAACAAATGCTAATAATAGGCTATAGCTAACAGAGACACGAGCGTTGACGTTCTCATAGCAACCGTCTTCTTCTCTTACCTTTTTGACGGTTGTCAAACTACAGGAAACTCATCACTGCCATCTACTGGAGCCTGGAACACGATTTCACAGTTTTTCTTGGCTGCTTTGACTTGGAGAAACTGGGATCTTAGTTAATCATCACTATTTCAGCCAGTGTTGTGTAAAGTACCACAAAGTGATACTTCAGTAAAAGTACAAGTATATTACCAAAAAATTACTTTGGTAAAAGTTAAAGTCTCATTTAGGAATATTGCTTGAGTAAAAGTCTTAAAGTATCTTTTTTGTACTTAAGTAAAGTAAAAGTATTGATTTAAAATGAGCAGTTAGATTTTCTGTAAGGACATTTATTAGGAGGTGACCTCCCCAAAAACTGCAGAAATGACTGTTGTATTAAAAGAATGAATGGATGTTAAATTTAGGATGCACTAGTCCAGCTGTTTCAGTTTATATACATATATCAAGGCTGCACAAAGCTTTTCCCCAAAATGAAAATCTATCTGAGGGCTGCAGCCAAATGTAAGAATATAATTCATGAAATACAAATACTTCTTAAGTACAGTCCTTTKATTTGAATGATTCTGTCCTGCTGGAGTGTGACATGATTTGTTTGTGTACAAACTAATACACTATCAGAGTTTTATATATTTATACTTCTCATTCAACCACAGTTAAATTCACTCTATCTAGGAGGCACAGTTTGTATGGATAGTTTTTATTTTATACAATAACAAGTTGGAATGAAAACAAGCAAAAATGAAATAAAAGTAACGACTTTCTACTTCTTGTCTTTTTAAAAAAATGTAAGGAGTAGAAAGTACAGATAATTGTGTGAAAATGAAAGGAGTAGACGTAAAAAGTAGGCTGAAAAATAATTACTCAAGTAAAGTACAGATACCCAAAAATTCTACTTAAGTACAGCAACAAAGTATTTGTACTTAATTTACAACTCTGATTTCAGCAGAGCAGAAGTCACCTCTTGTATGTGTTAACCATTTCTCATTGGATTAACTCATTTTCTCCACCTTTTTGCAAAACAGTAAACACAGATTCCAGCAGACCTTCACACACACAAAAAAACTTCATTTAGCATCCTTAAAGGGTGCCACATCTGTGTTGTTCTTTATGACTGGAGGAGGTCAAAGACAGAAGAGACTGACTATCAACTGTGGCTAAACTTACACTGTATTTTCATTTTCTAAGTTTCTTATTCTGTGATTTTTTATTTTTGTTTACATTTCCAGTGTCTTCTTTAATATGTAATTTTTCAGCCTCAGTTTGAACTGTCATAGAGTCAGTTTGTATCAAAGCATTTCTGATTCTGGGTCCAGTTCTTTGCAAGAAGGAAAATCTTACACAGCTTGTGTAGAAACGAGGTATCAGAACTTCATGACACCTGAACTACTTTTAATACATGTTTGACTTATTTATACCTTCCACTGTTTTAAAAGTCATGTGTTTTCTGTTCTTTGTGTCATTGCAGCTACAAGAATACACTGTAATCATAATTTAGAGCAGGGCAGCTAAAATAAATGTTTTTCCTGCCAGCTGTTTCTTGGTTTATTCAACATATTTTATTACTGAACAAGTTGAGCACTGTGAAATGGTCTGCACAAAAATGACAATTTATTCTCTGTATTTGTTTTAAATATCACGTGGACATGTTTTATTTTGTAATTTGCATATTAAAATCTTTTCATTTAATTTAAGAGCTTGTTTGAATATTTTTCTCTTTTTGTTACTGTAAAACAGTAATAAGGTAACTTATACCCAAATAAAATGTTTTCTTACCATACTTTTTACTTTTTTGAGTAGAATTTACAGAACTTTACTTGTACATGAAGAAAACTTCACCAGAATAATTGTACTTTTACTTGAGAATGTTCAGTGCTCTTTCCACTACGCCATGTGCTGCTGCTCATTTTATGCTGTCTTTGTCTTATTTTCAGACCTACCGTATTTATTCATACGATCTCAACTATATTACAATCACAATTTTTGAGCTTAAAAAGCATAAAAAAATCTAATCATGTTATAAGCCACAAATCATTTCAGACTGACTTCAGAATTTTTCAGCCTTTGCGGAGCGCCCTCTGGTGGTGACACATTATTTAGGGAGACACAGTTGTGTGGGCATGGTCTGAGGTCTGATATGTTTGACTGGTTATTTCCCAAAGTTCCCAGTCTCCAAATGTTCTCTGAAAACAATATAATTTATGGACTTATTATGGACAATAACAACAGTGACTTTCTCATCAACACTATTATCATTCTGGGGAAATTTTTCATCCATAAAGCTAAATATCTTAAGGTTAAACCACATTTCTATCATTTTCACAATGACTTTATTTTGTACTGCAATTCTCTTAAAGTGATGCATACTGAACATGCCCACAATCTGTGCCCTTTAATTGAACAGTGTGATTTAACATCTAAACCCTAGGCTTTTTTTGTTCCTTCTTATTTTTAAACTTCTTATCTTTATTTGCACCCATCCTTTTCTCTTWTATGCAAGTTTGTTTGTTTGAAATACGCCTTATTGTTTGTACATTCTATTATTTTGTGTGTTCTTTGTTGTTTAATAAAAAAAAGTGGGCATGGTCTGATGCAACGCTGCAGACTCCTGTGTTCATGTATAATTCCCCCCACCCCACCCCACACTCCCCTCCCACTTTATGAACGATTTTTGGGGTTAAATTTCTTGTATTACACTCAAATAAATTAGGTGTTTCTCTAGTCTGTTCCAAGGTTATAACAGTTTTGGATTTTTCATTATATGTTGCTTGTTTTTCACAGGAGCTACTGAGAGAAGCATGTCAAGATAGTCATTGTTAGCCATTTTGTGCCATCTTGTAAAAGTTATGGACCATGAGGTGCCGCTGCCCACAGCTAATGTGAAACTACTCTATTTGAAACAAACAAACAAACAAACAAACAAACAAATATTTGTTCAATCAGTTCACACAGCTCAAGATAAACTGACATACTCTAAAACTATAAGGATATTCTAATTATAATTAGTTAGTTTTAGTTTTGTAAAAAAATTATACAGTTTTAGTTATTGTTTTTTTTCATTTTTATTTATTTTAGTTAACTAAAATGTTTTTTTCAATTTCACTTTTCATTATTTAGTTTTAGTTAACTATAACAACTCTGGTCTGTTCTCATTTTTAATTCTAAAGTTGAAACACATCATTTAGTTAAATGATAACTTCTAATCATTAGAAACATTAGATTCTAATGTTTGTCAGTAATTTACTTAACACAACATGTGATTGTAGGATTATGTTTTCAATAACAGCCATCTTGTTCTGGGTTTGCACATCTGTATTAAGCTGAACACGCTGTGCTGATTTGTGCTACATTCTACCGTTATTAGAGGCAGAGAGTGGTGGGCCTTTAATATCCAACGCTGTCATTTCATGAGTTCCCACTGAGGGTCCAAGCCTGGGAGACCATGGCCAAAAACACAACACTGAAAACCAGACACCTGAACACAAACAGGGATTCTTTGTATTTATTAAAACATTAAACAGTAACCAGCAGAGAGGGAAGGGATAGCAGCCACATGGAAACTAACAACTGTACAGTGAGGTATGTGTGTGATCTCCCATGTTTGTCACTCAGAAGGTAATACTGGTCAGGGTGGAGACATGCACTCACTTCAACAACCAGAACATCCAATACACTCCACTGTACAAAGAGTTTCTTTTGTTACAACAAAGTTCTTTATACAAAAGTAATATTTGAGTATCACTGTGTACAAATGTATGTTTCACCATCATGATGTATGGGGTTAGGTGGTAATGACTGGATCTCATCCTCCCAGGTAATTCCTGTTTGTGAGATCACATGAAGTTCATCATTTATTCATGCAGTGGGTTGCAAAAACATTTCTTCCTCTTGGTAATATTTCCATTTTGTTGCTTTACAACCGGGAATTTATTTGGATTTTTTGCTTTATTAAAAACAATTCATTAATGGATATACTCCAGATTCATGAAAATAAATCAGGAAAAATTGTTTTAAAAGCACAAAACCAAAACGTGATGAGTGCATATGTGTCAACTCAACTATAAACTTCAGAAACGCCATCATTTGTTAAAAAAAGAGTAGTCTAAGTGTTATTAGATTAAATTATCCACACCTGTTATAACTCAGAATCAACACCGGTTAAAAACCTCTAATTATGTGAAGGTAATTTAGTTTTTTATTATTTAATCAAACAAAAATGTAGTTTCAATAAAAAAATTCAATCAAAAAATAACTTCAACCAAATAAAACAATTTCAACAAACAAAAAAAGGATAATAATAATAATAAAATAATAATAATAATTCAATCAAAAAGTTTTGCAAAAAAGAAACTTTTTTCTCATGTCAGAAATCTTTGGTTGAATCTCAAACTCAGATCTCAGATCGGCTGCTGTCCCTGGTCAAAGGACAGTGAGTCGGGCCTGTTGCTTGAGCTCTGCGTCCCGGGGGAGGAGCCCAAGCTCCTGCACCTGAATGCATCTTATCAGACATACAGATGATTGATCACTGCCTTCCAACCTACTAGGAGGTAGAGGAGGGACAGTCTGCACACAATGTGATAACCCCTGATAAAGTCATTTAATGTTTAATTTGATTCGAAGCAGGTGCACCAGGAAATCGCTTCCGTTCACACTAACCAATAGGGACACGTCTTCCAGTAGTTCATCCTTTGGCCCCGCCCCGATGCTCATGTTCTGAGTTCAAAACTTTTTTGAGTTCAACCAAAACCTTTGAGCATCAACCAAAAGTCTGAGTTTCAACCAAAGATTTCTGACACATGAATAAAAGGTTCTGTTTTGTAAAACAATTAAAAAAAAACGTTTGATATAATTTCTTTTATTGAAATAGCTTTTTTGTTTGGTTGAACATTTTCTTGATTGAATTTTTTGACTGAAACTACGTTTTTGTTTGAATAATAATAATAACTAGGCATGAGTTTTTAAAATGTAAAAACAAGTGTGCATTGCCACGTAGCATGTCATTGCAGCATGGCTTTGCCTGCAGCATTGGACTTGCAGAATGAACTTAAAGTATGGAGCAGTACCAAGTTGAGTCCAGCATGAGGCAGTATTGGACCATTACAAGGCCGCATTGACTCCAATTATATGAATTTTTGGAATAAAGTTTAAACATTAATATTTCAAAAACTACAAGTTGTACAGACAACAGAAGTCATAGCAATCATTTGGCACAGGACCTTTACAGATAGAAATGACAATGGCAGCTGTAGGACAAAGTATGCAGGAGGAGTAGCGTGGCGACGTTGAAGAAGACGGAATAATAAGTTGAATAATAATAATAAAGAGAAACAGGAAAACAATAAAAACTGATAAAAACAAAACAAAAAATACCTTCATATAAGTAGGGCTACCACTGAGTAAAAGACAACATGAAAACCAAAGAACTCTCCCCACAGGTTCTTCATGAAAACATGCTGCCACCACAGACAAGCCAAAAGGTTTAACAAAACTCTGGGTGTAGGGAGGACACTAATCAATGGGGACGAAGACAACCTGGATGGAGCTGGTAGCTCTACTGAAGAGATGGTAGTATCTGTCCACAAAACCAATATGGACTGCAGAGATCTGGGCTTCATGGAAGCGTGGTAAAAAAACAAAACAAAAAAAAGGACAAAAAAAGCTGGACTGTTTGGAATTTCTTTCCTAAGCATAAGGAAAGAAGTGCTGAGGTCAAATAAAACCAAAGTCTAACTTTTAGACCATCAAAGAAACCTCACTGAGCACCTCTCATCATGCTGAGAACACCATCTGTACAGTGAGGCATGGTGGTGGAGCCATCATGCTGTGGGGATGTTTTTAGAATCTGGTCAGAGATGGAGGGAAGGTGAATGGAACAAAATACATAACAAACATTTAAAGTAACCGTCTTGGAAAAATAACTTCTCCTTTAATGTCCTACATTCCTCTCAGGCCAACCGTCAGTGACCTCTTTTGCTTACCTTAAAATGTCATCGTGTTTTATTATTTCACTCTTTATCTTCTGTTTCAGATAAAGTGCTCCATAACAAGGACAATATCTGTTTAGAAGTAATCATACTTATTACTGTTTATCAAACATCATTCTCTCCTTGGCCCAGTTTCAGCGCCAGGAAAGATGTTTGTCTGTTTGGATAACATACTGTATAAATGTGTGTGTTTGATACTGCCTCAGGGCACATACTCCATATATATATATATATATACACTTCCCTGTGTGACATGATGTGTGTCTTGCAATTGCAATAAATCCTAACTGACCATTCATGGAGTACTTTTTATTCTTGGACCACGTGTTTCTGTTTTGGTTAAATAAATTTCCACGACAGTAACACTTGAGCATCCCAGAGATGTGAGCGTGGGACAAAGAGCTTCCAGCAGGACATTGACCCCAGACACAGTGCTGAAGCAGCACTCCACACCGGTTAAACATCCATAAACCCAATCAATTTAAATTAGCTTCAGCAGTTTTTTTTTCATAAAAAATAGACAAAACCTCCAGCAGTTAGATGGAGGCAGAGAAGTGCTGCTAAAAGTGGTGATACATTGGAGGTTCGGGGTTGAATGCATGTCCATACACACCATTTTTTTATTTAAAACATATATTTTCTCTAATTTACCTTAATTATTCTGAAGTATTTTTCTAAAAACATTACTTTAAACCACATTAGAAATCTATTTAAACTACACACTGTAAGGCAACAAAGTAGGAACATCATCAAAAAGCATGTACAGTTTTTGAAACCCTCTGCAGATGTTTTTCAGGTGTCCGAGGACTTTCAAATGAGTTTGTCATGTTTTGTATTCCAATGACAAGAAAAACAATTTATTTTGTTTTTTCTTTTCATTTAAAAAAGATCTACCAGCTTTTGTGTCATTGCAGTTTGAAGAGTGGATGAAAAGGCAAACGGTTCATGTGGTGCTGCACTTTGCTACAAATCCTTATAAAAACACCCAGAATCCTGCTACCGTTTCTTATTCAAAAGTTGACAAATCTTTAGAAATCGTACAAACACTCACAGTTAGGAGAGACCAATGCAGGCAGACATCACAACAGTCAAAGACGGTTTGAACACTGACCGTTGCTCTCTGTGGCCACAGGAGTGCAGCGCTGCAACACAAACCAAAGTCCAACACAGACGAGCGAGAACACAACTTTGCCACAGCAGCTGCTACTGATCCCTGTTCTCTTTAAACTGAGTATTTTTCTGCGATACAAGGAGGAACCTTTATTTGCAGTTTTTTAAAGAAATAAAAAAAACATGGTTCTTAAATAAAACTAATGAGCTTTGCATGTCTAAGATATTTGCTAAATAGAAAAATAGATGATTTCAAAATAAATGTTAAAATTAGAAAAATATTTGTAATCACATGATGTATGTACACAAACTGTGGTCGTAACCTTTAGTTATAAAATTGATGTTTGTCTGCAGGGAAATGTGTTAATACGCTATCATTTTGTTGGCTGTGGTGAATGATGCAATGTACGAGAAGAAGGATCTGTTTCAGTCAGAGCTTAAAAACTGTGGGTCATCAGGCCGGACACAGTGAGAGAGGTCACCAAACAGAGCATTTATCCACGGGGTTCATTGGGGAACCTTTGGGACAGTGGAAAACACGAGCAAACTCATCAAACTGGGACACGCTGCCAATTACCCTGCAAGAAAAAATAAATAAATAAAAAGCAAACAGTGATGTGAAGAAGACTGAAAATGTTCAAAGTGCAGTTATGTGTGGTTGCTGTGTACCTGTAGTGCTCTGGTGCATGTTTGTCAGTCAGAAGCTGCAGGTAGATGGACTGAGATCTTCTCTTCATACACCAGTTCTGAAAACACAAGATCAACACAACTGTGACTCAAACCGGATGAAGTTAAACTGAATATTGTTCCTCTCCCTCTATGCAGGGAATGTATTTCCCTCTGTATCAGCTAGTGTAGTCAAGACCACCTAACTCCAGACCAAGACTATTAGGGCTTGGACCATGTTGAGACCAAGACCCAGGGAGAGCGAGACTCTTCAAGACCAAGACCAGAAAAACGAAATAATAAAAACCAGAAACTAGTTCCCTGAAAGAGTATTCTGTAAACATGTGGCTAATTTAATGTTTAGCTCAGTGGTTCCCAACCCTGGTCCTCAAGGCACACTGCCCTGCATGTTCTTCTTCTTCTTTTAATTTAATGGCGGATCGCAAACAAGTTTTAGTTGCATACCGCCACCTACTGTGCATGAGTGTGTAGCCTCATGACTCCACTTAAATTCTATATTTTAACTTTGCATTGTGTAAAAGTAAAAATAATGCGTTCCTTATTTTGCATATTTCCTCCTTATCCCCTTCTGTTCCCAATATCCCTTTTAAACTTCACTCTCTCCCTACCTCTTACTTTTTCCCTCATCCTCTCTTTCTGCTGTGTACTTTGTACACGTCATCAGGACATGTTCCACACTTTCTTTTCTTCCACAACTCTCACATTTACCATCACTCCTTTTCCTATTAAATATAAAAAGTCATTTAAATAGGAATACCCTATACTCTTAGTCTCATCATGATTGCATCTTGTCTTCGATTTCTTTCTATTAACTTCTGTATTTTTACTGAGTTTTGTATTTTATATGATTTCCTTCCTTTTTTTAACCTCGTTCCATTTTTTTCTGCCATATTTCTATTTCTTTCTCTTTGATTATTGATTTGGCCCTGCATGTTTTAGAAGTTTCCCTGCTTTAACACACCTGATTCAGATGACTGCAAAACCTGTTAATAAGTTATCAACTGAAATCTGCTGTGTTGATGCAGAGAAACGTCTAAAACATGCAGGGCAGTGTACCTTGAGGACCAGGACTGAAAAACACTGGTTTAGCTAATATTGACAATATCTCTTCGTTTGAGGGCCGAGTAAAGAATTTTGCTACAGAAGCAGATTGCTAACATTAGCTAACGTTAGTCACGATAAAAGTTTAACGATGTCCCTAAACGTTGCATGGTTTCTTCTGGATGTTGTTTCACAAATATATTCTGTATGATTTATGCAGCCAAACTAGCAAACATTTTGCAGACATCTTCTTCCGCTCCCAGACAACCACTGCTCACTCTCTTGGAGTGCCGCATGCTGGTGAAAGGGAGTAGGCATTGGTGACAGCAGTGACAAAAATACATAAATAGTAATGAGTTTGGATTTGAATCAGTACATTTTACATCCAATGATAGCAAAGACGTTAACAAATAAATTGGGCATTGTTCTGGCTATATTAGTGAGTGCTCAATGTCTGAGACCAAGACAAATGTGGTTGATTTTGAGACAAGACCAAGGCCATCATAAAGTGGTCTTAAGACTGGTCTCAGGTACTACAACACTAGTATTAGCCAGTAGTAAAGAACAGTCTTTCAATAATGTTTAGAGTAAGTCTTTTTACTAAGCCTAGTCTTTAATGATTTTACTTTCATCAGTTAAGTGTACCGTTGTGTTCAAATAATATTAGCTTTGTAGTAAAAGATTCAAATTATACACCAAAATGTGAACTTGACTGAGAATAGTGCTAACACTGTTGGTAGTGATGCATTGCACAATGTCATCAAAATTTGTAATAAAAAGAAGCAACAAATAATAATAATAATAATAATAATAATAATAATAAATTAAGAAAAATAAATGATCACTAAAATCGGAGCCACAATTGAAAACTCAGATGATCAGTAAATGTTTTATGTTTTAAAAACGATATGAAAAGATATGGACCAAATACAAACAGCATGGAATGGTTGTTAAAGCCAAGCATACTGGTAGACCAAGAAAGACATCAAAGAGTCAAGACAAACAACTTAAGGCCATTTGTCTTGAAAACCGAAAAAGTACAACTAAACAGATGTAGCATAAATGGGAGGAAGCTGGAGCCAATGTTTGTGACTGAACCATAAGAAATCTCCTAAAGGAAGTGGGATTTCAATGCAGGAAATCTAAAAATAAACCATCATTGACACCTAAAAAAAGAACAAGACTGCAATGGGCTAAGGAGAGGCAATCATGGACTGTGGATGACTGGATGAAAGTTMTCTTCAGTGATGAGTCAAGAATCTGCATTGGACAAGGTGATGATGCTGCAACTTTTGTTTGGTGCCGTTCCAGTGAGATTTATGAAGAGGACTGCCTGAAGAAAACAACTAAATGTCCACAGTCCTTGATGATATGGGGCTGCATGTCAGGCAAAGGCACTGAGGAGATGACTGTGGCTCATTCTTCTATCAATGCACAAGTTTGCATTGACATTTTGGACAGTTTTCTCATCCCTTCAATTGAACAGATGTTTGGAGGTGATGAAATAATTTTCCAAGATAACAATGCATCGTGCCATAGGGCAAAAACAGTGAAGGCATTCCTTGGAAAAAGACACATTCAGTCAATGTCATGGCCTGCAAATAGTACAGATCTCAACCCAGTTGAAAACCTGTGGTGGAAATTGAAAAAAATGGTCCACAAGAAGGCTCCAACCTGCAAAGCTGATCTGGCAACTGCTATCAAAGAGAGTTGGCACCAAATTGATGAAGAATACTGTTTGTCACTCATCAAGTCCATGCCTCAGAGACTGCAAGTCATTATAAAAGCCAAAGGTGGTGCAACTAAATACTAGTGATGTTTTTTGAATGGTCTTTTGTTTGTCTGTTTTTCATGATTCCATACTCTTTTCCTCAGAATTGAGTGATTCCATATTTTTTTCCTCAGAATTGAGTGATTCCATATTTTTTCCCTGTGCTTGGTCAATAAAAGTAACATTCACTGACTTCCACAATGTTTTCTCTTTTTCTTTGAGTGTTCCTGAAAGCCAACAAGTTGCACTTTGGAATGACCTTATTATTCTATCATGATCTGAGTTTGTTTTACAGAATGAAATGTCTGAATGAGTGCTCATCCACGACTGGTGATCCCATACTTTTTGCCAGGGGTTGTATCTACGATTGATTAACCTTTAGAGTTAACCCAAATCAAAATGGCCACCACAGCTATTCACGCATATCTAACACAAGGAACGGCTAAAACTCATTCAGTTTTACAAATGTTGACCTCAAATTTTTGTGCTAGAAGCTGAGAGTCAACACCAGTTTGAGGATGGCATTCTCGTATGAAATTGTACACATTTCTTTCAAGGTTTGACCAAAACAGCAATAATTCTCTACGTACTGTAATTTGATCTTAGTATTAAAGTTTGGCATGAAACATGACAAACAGCATGGTATGAATTGCTTTGTCTTCAATGAATGTTAGAACTTTATTGTCTAAAGTAATTAATCTGTATCATAAATGATAGGGGGTGCACCGATGGCAGTTTTCTGACTGATCACTGATGATTAAAAAATTCTTAAATACTGGTTCCAATTTTGGTCAATTAAATAACTGAAACTGTCAGATGCACCTTCAATGTTCCAACCATATTTTACTGAAAAACAATGAATTCTCTTGAAACAATACAAACTTATTTTAACTGGATATTAGGTAGCACTCACAGCAGTGCAAAAGGAGACAGTGGCTGATTTCCAGACCTGTGGAGGTGTATGAGATGCAGATATTTTCCACCGATCTTATCTGTATATTGGCCGATCATTCAAAATTAAGAAAATTTGTCGATTTATTGGTGCACCCCTAATAAATGGCCACTACAAAAGATGACAAAAGGGACATCTGGTAAATGGACTGGACTTGCAGTATATACCCCTACATCCAACCAGGATACTCAAAGTGCTTTATACAATCTGTGTCCTCATTTACCCATCCACACAGCACTCTACTAAGTCTCTCTACAAATCTAACCCAGACAGATCATTCTATAGAGACTAATCAGTGCTTTAAATCACACTCTGATGGGACACATCAGAGCCAGTGGGGTTTCAGTGTCTTGCCTAGAGATGCTTCAACATGTGACTTAACAGTGGGGAAATAGAACCACTCAGCCACAGCTGCCACAAATCGTTCATTCATTTTGTTCATGATTATTTAATAAGAGCATGTATAGTACATAATAAATTATGCACTCTTTGCTTTTTTTTTTAAGTTACGGCTGATTTGCAGTCTTTGTCCTCAGTTAGGCTAAATAAAAACAAGCTAAACTTGTAAAAATACTGATGTAATAGCCCAAACTTTTAAAGAAAACCAATGACAGAGCAATAAAAACACGTACACACGTAAGCGCATTTATAAAACCATACATGTCATGTTACGTAATTTTACACAGATTTTCCCTCATTTTGCAGGTGTACGCACATATAGAGCAATCTCACAGATTTTTTTGTTTTACAGTTTTTTTTTTCGAAAACTCAGTGTAAAATTTATTTAACATCAGAGCTTGTAGGACGTAAAAAAAAAGCAAATAACCAGCTTCCAATCCACTCTCCGCCTGCACCCCACCCACCGTGCGCATGTGAGTATGTGTTTTTTTTGCGAAAATTGAAAATTTTTGAGGCTTACTATACAGGTGAATGTCCAAAGGGAATGACATGTATGTAAAACTGGTAGAAAAAACAACTGGAAACTAGAACACACAGGACAGGAGAAGCACCAGCCAACATGCGTACATGGTAATGGTTCACTAGAGTGTGAGATGTCATTTCAGAGCTGGACATTTTGGACACTTAGATGAACAAAAAGAAAAAAAATACTTAATCAATGAATACTTGATTGTAAGATTTTTATCATTTGTTTTAAAGAAGTTGAACTCTAAATGAATCATTATGTATAAAAAGCACGTTTGCCGGCCTGCTGTGCAGGTTTGAGGGCCGAATTAATTTTGGTTGAGGTGGTTGAATTGCCTCAAGCTTTTTATTCACACACGAAGATGACATTTCAAATGAATGTAAGCACACATTCCTGATTTTCATAACACCTCCCTGAGGGAAGAGTCATAAAAAATGGGCTTAAACACGCCACTTTGCATTCTAAAGTGTTTCTAGATTTTGCCACTGAGACATTAGGCTATGAATTTCAATAAAACCATTGTATTTCAATGATGGCTCCTAATAGTTAGAAGGATCAAGGGTGGTCCTGTGCTTGGAGACACTGAACTGTCATCAAAACACTTGTATTCTCAACAGTTACTTCATCCATGAGATATTGTGGGTGTCATACAGTGTCTGTCTGCCCTCCATGATCCAGTTCCAATTGAGAATAGCAGCTAAAATGATTTAATATGTAAATATAATGAAAGACAGAGCTTTAGAGAGGCTTCAGTACCTGTGCAAAAGCAATGAAGAGCAGCTGTTCATGAGTGTATTTCAGGACAGGCAGGGGTCTCTCTGGACCATTTTCCCTCACCCATTTCTGATATGCCTGGAAGTAAAAAAAAAGTGGTGAATAATGACAGAAATCTAAATCGTAATCCTAAATCAGATGAAGAGTAGCTTGGTTTCTTCAAAAGAAACTCTGATGTGAAGCTAATTTTATTTATTGTAGTTTATTTATTGTTTACTTAGCTTTATTTATTGTTTGAAGATAGACTAAAAGGAAATTATATTAATGATCTTACATTCTTTTGTATCTGCATTCACAAAACAGAGTTCTCTTCAGTGATGACTGTAGATATTCTCAGTGTTAAAATTAATTATGCAGTGTTTAAGATATTTTACAGTTCAAGAAAATGCAATGGTCAAGGATGTGTATATACAGTTTATGTGT